TACTCACGAGAACCTATCAATTCGTATTCTGACAGCAAATATCTGGTACATGCTTTAAATGTCTTGGAAACTGTTGCTCATGTTTCTGTTCATAGCTCCATTGCACCCCTCCTTCATCAGTTGCAAACACTGATTCGTAAGAGAACTCATCATCTTTTTGTGGGTCACATCAGAGGTCATCTCCTGTTGCCAGGACCTCCAGTGGCAGCTGATTCTCTTACTAGGGGACATCTAATTTGTCCAGCACTTCAGAGTGCAATGGAAGAACATGCAATCTTGCACACCAACGCCACATCACTTAAGGGTCGTTACGGGTTGACTCGTCATCAACCTCGTGACATTGTTTGTGCCTGTCACAAGTGTGCACCTTTTGCTCCAGCTGCTGTGCCGCCCCCAGGAGTTAACCCCCGGGGCATCCTCCCTAACCATATTTGGCAAACCGATGTGACTCATGTACCCTCTTTTGGAAGACAGAGCCTGGTCCATGTCTCCATCGACACATTCTCTGGTTTTCTTTTCGCCTCCCCACATTGCGGTGAAAAGACTTCTGATGTCCGCTCACATTTGCTACAAGCGTTTGCGGTAATGGGCCGCCCACGTGTCATTAAGACAGATAACGGTCCTGGTTATACCAGTAAGGCTTTTGCCTCCTTTTGTGCGGTCCATCGCATTGTGCACAAAACGGGAATTCCATAAAACCCGCAGGGGCAGGGTATAGTTGAACGTGCCCACGGTTCTCTGAAAACTATGCTTTTAAAACAAACAGGGGGAGAACACTCCCCCAGGGGCCGTTTGACTACAGCTCTCTTTACCCTTAATTTTTTGACCCTAGTGTAGGGTAAGGAAAAATGTCAGACTTTTCTGCCCTCCTGCCATCAGGATAGATGATGGATCCTTGAGGTCCTGAATGCATGCCTGATGGCGGGCACCTGGAATAGGGTGAGGGCATAGGTAGATGGGATTCACCTGGGCTAAGACTGTGCTTTTAAGGGCAGCGTCATGGGGACGCCAGCAGCAACAGAAGCCGAAAGAGAAGAAGCCCGAAGCAGAAGCAGAGAACGCCAGAGAGCCCAGATAGAGTGAGGATTTGCTGGGGGCTGGGAGGACTGCCAGCCTCCCAGCCCCCCAGCCCCCCAGCACCCCTGCCTGCCATATGCCTGGTGAACCCCAATAAAAGACCTGCAAAAACCCACTGAGGACTCTGACTCCTCCTTTACCCGGTCTGCATGGGATCAGAAAACCTGCACTGTGTCCTATTCCTGCCCTTTACACCTAGATCCCAGGGGCGGTCAGCTGCTGAGCAGCACTGGTCGCCAGACCCTCGACAGGTCACGATGCTGCAAGCGAGATGGAAGGACCAGGTCAATAATGAGTGGCAACCACCCGCACCAGTATTAATACAGCTGCCCGGCAGCATTTGTCTTTTCCCACAGGATGCGGAAGCGCCCCGATGGGTTCCTGCTCTATTGGTTCAGTTTGTCAATATACCTGACCCTGCTAACTTTGATGACACGAGCGTCCCAGATGTCAGTACGATGGGCGATTGTGCATCGGCTGCCTTTTTTGCTCCTCATTGATAGTCATGATTCCACTTTTCCGCAAGTATTTGCCACTAATCTTACTACTGGTCTGGCTTCCAAGCCACTGGATAGTGCCCTGTTGGACCAGGGTGAGGTGAAATTATTTAATGGCATTTACTCTGCAAACATTAGTTCTACCATTGAACAATCCGTTAGTATCCAGAATAATAGATCAGAGAGTTTGTCTACTGTTGTTCGCCTGTTCCCTCCTTTCTTTTTTTGTCCTCTCCAATAATACAGGAAATACAACTGTGTTGAACTGTTCAGTGGAGCCCTGCGCCCTCTCTGCCTTCTGGGCCCGGAGTGCGGTAAGGGTGGTGATCGTTCGTCTGCGTTTTACTTTAATCATGCCCGTGGATGTTTCTGCACGTCTTTCCCCTGTTCTACCTAGGAGGAGACGTGATTTTGGCATCACTGCAGCTGTTGTCGCCGTTTCAATAGCGGTGGCCGCGGCTGCGGCTGCTGCCACCGTCGCTGTCACTCAAGCTGCTGCAAATGCTGACACTATAAACAATTTAGCTGCCAATGTTGCTTTTGCGTTACCAACACAGCAAGATATGCATGAACATTTACGAAATGGACTTTTGATGCTTAATCAGCAGATAGCTCTAATGTAAGAAGAGATAGACACACTTTTGTTAACTGCTCACATGCCTTGTAACCTTCTGTACCGTTTTATTTGTGTAATCCCTGTTATGGTGAAAAATATGTCTATGGAAGTAAATAGGTTAAATAGTGTAATCAGAGGACCTTGGAACCACCAGTTCCTGAACCTGACTGCTCAATTGGCGAGACAGCTCATAACTGTTAACAACACTCGGGTTACCCCTGTTACGAGTGAGGGTCTCATTGCCTGGTTTAGAGGACTCCTCCCAGACTTGTAAGCTTGGGGCGGGGTGGTAGCCTTAGCTCTTGGCTTTTTGCTGTTTGTGCATTCGGCATATGGTTTCTCCGTCGGCTACAGAAGCGAAAAAACGAACGTGCTATTGCGGTCAGGCAAGTACTTGGCGCCATGGTACTTGACCAGGACTCCCCAGTGACACCCGAATGGGTCAACTTAGCCCTAGAGAACCTGAGAGCCAAAGACGGATAAGAGCGTAGCCCGTCCAGACCAACCTAAGACAGCGGTCCGGACAAAGTGCGCCGGATTAGCGATGACAGGTAAGGCTGGTCACGGGATATGCCAACCTAAGACAGGCCAGGTGTCTCATTTAAAAGAAAAAAGGGGGAGATGTCCGGAGCCGCCTGGATCATGCGCCTGTTGCGCATGCGTGCGATGAGTTAAGTTTCGCTTTACCATTTCGCCTTCTGAGAAACCACTGCGTTTTCCTGTAAATCACGTGAGACTGGGAGGTACGATGGGAGGAGCTACCAGGGTATAAGAAGAGAACCACGAGAGAGAGGATAGGATACTTCAAGGGATACTGCGAGAGGGATACTGCAAGAGGGAGATTGTGAGGAATACTGCGAGAGGAATACTTCGAGAGGATACTGAGGGAGAGCAGAGAGAAGGCCAGGGAAGGTAGAAAGACAGGGAAAAGAAAGACATGGAAAAGTAAGAGAAGAGAAGGTAAAGAAAATATAAAGAAGCAACTGCTAGCGTCAAGTTGTCTCAAGCCCCTCATTTCAATCCTCAGCCCTTCTCTTTTCATGCCTACGAATCCCGCAGGTCGGGACACATCAGGAAATTATCAAGTTCTCCTCTCTAGTAATATCAAGATTTTTTTCTTTAAAAAAAGAGTTGGAAAAGGTGGAAATAAGTGTCCAGAAAACAGTCCTAAAATGTGGCCAAAAATTAGATGACTCTGGAAATTCATCTCTCACCAGACTCCTGTGTTCAAGGGACACCCTGGGCCTTGTAGAGACAATGACAGTTGCTTCCTGCTGCTGTCAGAGACAGGGACCAAGAGAAAAATAAAACCCAAAGAATTGAAATAAAAATACATAGAAATTTGAGGGCAGAAGGCTAGATCCAGAGCTGAGCCTCGGCAGACCTGGCCACACATGCACTCCCTGCCCACACATCATAGCACAAGGCCAGGTGAGGTCTGAGCCCCTGTGATCACAGGCCATGTTGGGACAGGTGCTCCTGAAGGACAAGGACAAAGGAGCAGAGAGATGACCCCTGAGGAGAGACCACATCAAAGCCCACGATGCATTGAGCACCAACTGGACACAGGTCTTGTCCCCTCGGCTCCTCATAGCCTCTCCCGCCCCCACCTGCACAGACTCAACACAGCAAACATGTGATTCTGGAAGGTTTCCCATTTAATTCATCTCAAATTTTAGGAATCATTTTTATTAGCCCACCAAACCCATAGGTTAAGTTCACAGAAAGTAATTTCAGAACTCAATTATTATTTCAAGAGGCAAGTAGTTACTATTCTTGAGGAAGACACAAAGACGGGTAGACGCAGAACAAGCTTCTTTTATTCATCAGGGAGAGAACACAGGTCAGTGTGGGGAGGGTCCTGGTGGGCAGGGCTGGGCCAGTCTCCCCACCTCACATTATCTAGTAAGAATAGAGATGCATTCAGATGTATTTGCAATAAAAGAAACTGGCAAATCTTGAAGTTACAAAGTGGGGGTGAGGAGAAATCCTGCATCACTCAGTCCCCACAAGGCAGCTGGCTCACACTGTGAAGGAAAAGTATCATAAATAATTTCAAAGAAACACATAAATGTTGACATTCTCCATAGTCCACCACATCCTCAGAATGTCCCCTCACACCCATCACCTGGTCCCATCCCCTCTTCCCCAGCCCCTCCTACCGCAGGCCTCCAGGTTTCACCTTTAGTAGCTGTGAGAGACACATCAGAGCCCTGGGCACTGTCGCTGCCTTGGGGAGAACAAAACAAAACCTGGTCAGAGCCACAGAGAGATGAGACCACAGGAAGGACTGATGGGGGTGACTCCCCCATGGGCCCCATCTACACTGTCCCCAGGATCTCAGGGATCCAACCCCTGATTCACACTTACCTGCAGCCTGAGTGTAGCTTCCTCCTTTTCTACCTGTGGAAAGAAGCATCATGTGACCAGGGAGAAGTCAGCCCATGAAGTCCTAAAGGAATCCTGAAGTCTGCACCACAGGGAAGTTTCCAGAACTGTGACTGGACACTTAGGGGAGGACCAGGAAAAATGAAGAAAGGAGATGAGAGAGTAGAGCCTCCTGGCTCTGCCCTCAGCATGAACCTTCCCCTCTGCCACTTGCTGGAATCAGGGCCCCATCACCGGAATTATCAAGGTGAACAAATGTTGATTCATTTTCAAAATGCTTTACAAAAGAGGGTCAGCAATCAGCTCCAAACTGGGCAACACATGTGTGTGGATGGTACTTCCTATTACCAGGCAGGGCAAGTTCTACCAGTGGCCTGAAAGTCCCTAGTGGACAAGATCCCCCATTCCCTTCCCTACCTGACTGCTTCTTCCTCCACATCACAGCTGCAGCCACCCAGCTCCAGTGAGCACAGCTCCAAGGAAAACCAGGCCAGCAATGATGCCCACGGTGGGGACGGAGGACTGAGAAGGGGGCACTGGAAGGGAAGGGGAGACCCTGAGCCCCAGGCCTCCATCTAATGCTCTGAAGGTCACCAGAAGGGCTCCTGATATCCCTGAGAAGCTCTGTGCCCACGTTCCCTCCTTACCCCAAGTCAGGACTCGGGGATCCTGTAGCCCCTCATGCTGCACATGGCACGTGTATCTCTGCTCCTCTCCAGAAGGCACCACCACAGCCGCCCACTTCTGGAAGCTTCCGTCCCCCCCAGGCCTGGTCTCCACCAGCTCTGTCTCCTGGATCAGGTCCTCCCCATCTCGCTGCCAGGTCAGGGTGATGTCCGCTGGGTAGAAGCCCAGGGCCCAGCACCTCAGGGTGACCTTCTGTTCAGAGTTGAGGTGGTGGGTCACCTGTGTCTTTGGGGCCTCTGAGGAGAAAGGTGAGAACTTTCACACTTTGGGTTTTTTCTCTCATGGACCCTGAAAAACCCTCCTGTGACCATCCTCAGAATGGACAGGGCAGTGGGTTTAGAAGAGGAAGTACAAAATCTAGAAACCAGCTTGCTCTAAGGAGTCTGGGAAAATCTCTTCTTCCTTAGTCCTAGAATTAGGCGACAACTCTGGATAGGAGGACGCAGCTCTCTAAGGAGGAGAGCACAGGCTTTTGGGGACAGACCTGGGACTCAAAAAGGACAAGTCAGATTAGAAAAATGTGCTCTGACCAATAACAAGACCCTGAGAGAAACACTGATGGTTCCCAAGAGGGCTGCTGGGTCAAAGGATCCCAAGAAGGGTGATTCCAGGGCTGGTCTCCCTTCAAGCTCAGGGGACACCGAATTCCTTAACTGTTCTGAGGAAAAGTGGGGTCTCTGGGGAGTCAGGAAACCCAGGGGGCTCCTCCTCCCCTGCCCAGAGAGGGGGCGCTGCTGTGACCTTGACTCCACCCTCCCCGTGGTGCCGGCCTGAGGGGGGTTGGGAGACCCGCGGCCCCTCTTACCTGAGCGCAGCAGCGTCTCCTTCCCGTGCTCCAGGTATCTGCGCAGCCACTGCACGCACCTGCCCTCCAGGTAGTTCCTCTGGCGCTCCGCCTCTCCGGCCACCTCCCGCCTGCGCCGCGAGATCTGCGCGGCCGTGTCCGCCGCGGTCCAGGAGCGCAGGTCCCCGTTCAGGGCCAGGTACTCGGCGCCGTCATAGGCGAGCTGACTGTACCCGCGGAGGAGGCGCCCGTCGGGCCCCACGTCGCAACCAGACATCACCTGGAGGGTGTGAGAGCCTGTCCCCCCCCACCCGCGTCACCCCGTGGTCACCCCGCCCGCCCCCCGGGAATAAACCGAAACTGACGCGGGAACCCCGCGGGGAACGTCCCGGGGCTCGTCCCGGGTCGAGGGTCCGGCGGGTCCCCCTGCCTCGGGGGGGCGCTCGGGCCCGGGGTCTGGGGTCCCGCCCGCCCGCGGGGGTGGGGTCGTGAGCGCCCCGGGCCCGCCCGGCTCACCGGCCGCGCTCTGGTTGTAGTAGCGGCGCAGGGTGTTCAGGCTGCCCCGGTACACGGCCATGGCGTTCCTGAAGTTCCGCGTCTCCCCGTCCCAGTACTCCGGCCACTCCTGCTCCATCCAGGGCTCCCGCGGCTCCGCCTTCCGACTGGGGGAGTCGCTGTCGAACCGCACAAACTGCGTGTCGTCCACGTAGCCCACGGCGATGAAGCGGGGCTCCCCGGGGCCGGGCCGGGACATCGCGGTGTGGAAATACCTCAGGGAGTGGGAGCCTGGGGGCGGGAGGGAGACCCGGGCTGACTTTCCTCGTTTCGCGGGTCCCGGGGAGATGGGCCTTGAGGGGAGGGGGGCGAGGGGCCTCCTGAGATTGATAAGGGGCTGGGGGACGTGAAGCATGAGACTCAGGGACCATGAGGAGGAGGGGCTGGGAGGGACAGAAGGGACCAGGGCAGGTTGGGGTCATGGGGGACAACAGGGCCCGCGGTGGTGGGGACCGGCTTTTCCAGGGTCCTGCGCCCCCTCAACCCCGGGGTTCCACAAATTCCTCCCTCCTCTGAGGCCTTTTCCCTCCAGGGCCCGCACTCACCCGCCCAGGTCTCTGTCAGGGCCAGGGCCCCCGAGAGCAGCAGCAGGCGGGTTGGAGGCCTCATGACCAGATTTCTTGGGTCTGGGTAGACGGAGTCCCGGCTGCGTGGATGGAGACATTTAACCGTAGCGCGGGAATGCTGATTGGCTGCTCTGGAGACCTCCAGGCAATGGGGAGTGAGAACCGGGGTGAATCACCAGTATCCAGGAGGTAGGACCAGACACATTGTGAGAAGTGAAACTAAGGAGTTGAGGAAACCCCAACAGTCACCTTGCAGCCCCAGACACAGGCCAGGGTCCTGAGATACTGAGAACCACACCCAACACTTGAGACTTTGCCCGCCCCGCCTCTCCTGCAACAAGACCTTTGTCACACCGTGTCCCTGAGGCCGGCCCAGGGAATATTCAAGCATTTTCCTTTCAGGTTCTCGGCGCTGTTTTACAAATTAGCGACGACCCCAGTATAATTTTAGGAGGTTATAAATCTCAATGTTTACTACACGAGGATAAAACCAATTTAAAGATATTCTTATTTAAGGTAATATTAATACCATTGCATGTTTACAAAGTGTCTTAAAATATAGATATTTATGAAAAAATCACAACAAAGAGTGGATCTTTTAAAGCTTTTATTTTTGCAATTGTCTTTCTTTTCAGTCTCATTAGAAGAATGTTGGTTTGTCATATTTTCTCCTGCATTTACTCTGTTGTGTTGGTTGGTCAATGAAAAACCATACAGCCTCACTGAAATATGTGACAATAGCCTTTTAATTACATTTCAGATAATTGTGACTATTCAACTTTGTTACACTTCAACAACAAATTGAAATTGTGTAGATCCAATTGTAAAAGTGGTGGTTTTTCTGTGATGTAAAAGAAATCACAAAATACATGAATTTTCACATTGAAAGTAAATTTTAAGAGTGGTGATTTAAAAAAGAACAAAAAGGAAAGAGTGATAAATTGAGTAAACTGTTTAAGGGCCTCCTTGGTGGCACAAGGGGTTAAGAGCAGCCTATGAAGCTATCCACAGCCACTGCAACATCAGTTTGATCCCCAGCCGGAGAGCTACCCACATGACGCAGCAGACCTCTTCTGACTCACCTGCTGCTCCCCTCAGCAGTGTATCCAGTCTCTCTGCCTGTTCTGTTCCCCTCTGTCTCTGGTGAATCCTCTCACCGCCCCCCCACCTCTGGACTGCACCCCAGTTCTTGTATGTATAAATAAATAGTGTGCTTCGGTTCTTCTGCCTGCTCTGCTCCCCACTCTGGCTCTGGTGAATTCTCTCACCCTCCCGCGCTTCTGACAGTACCCAGTGCTTGTATAAACAAAACAAACAGATAAATAATTCATTATAAAACATGCCTAAAAAAAAAAAAGTGTTGGTTTTTCAAATGTTATTTGCAAAGTGAAACAATATCATTGAATATTATCTATTCTGTTATATTAATTCCATAGACCTCTCTTCATTATTAATCTTGAATTACTACATGATTTTAAAATGTGATGCATTGTTTTGCTAGGTTATATGATCTTTATGTTAATTATTCTAGAATCAAATTTTGAAAATCATGTATTTTTTATTTTTTATTTTTTATTTATTTTATTTTTTATTTAATATTATTTTATTATATAATTCTTACATCATTTTTCATTTTTGCACAATGTATGCATTTCCATTTTGGTTACATTCCCCAAACAGTACCCACCCCCCTTATTGTGACCCTAATCCCTCCTCTCCTCCCCCCCACCCTAGTATGTCTCTGGTTTATATTGCTTGTTGATTTTGATTTTTACTTTATTATAATTAGTCTTTTTCCTGGTTCCTTATTTAGGTTTTTTAAATTCCAGCTATGAGTGAGACCATCCGGTATTTTTCTTTTTCTTTCTGGCTTATTTTGCTGAGTATGAACCCTTTCAACTCCATCCATGTTCCTGCAATTGCATGAGTTCATATTTTTTGATTGCTGCGTAATATTTCCATTGTGTATATATTTCACATCTTCTTGATCAGTCATCTTTTTTGGGCATTTGGGTTGTTTCCACAGCTTAGCTATTGTAAATAGCTATAACTGCTATAAACATAGGGGTGCAGGTATCCTTTTGAATTAATGTTCTGTGTCCTTTGGGTAAATACCTAGGAGTGGACTTGCTGGATCATATGGAAGCTCCATCTTTGGCAGGTTGAGGAATCCCCACACAGCTTTCCATAGTAGTTGGACCAGTTTGCACTCCCACCAACAGTGCAGGACCGTTCCTTTTTCTCCACATCCTCGCCAACATTTGTTATTGCTAGTTTTCTTAATATGTGCCATTCTCACTGGTGTAAGATGTATCTCACTGTAGTATTGATTTTCATTTCCCTGATTACAAGTGAGTGTTGAAACATTTTTCATATGCCTGTTGGCCATTTGCATTTCCTCTTTGGAGAAGTTCTCTTTAGCTCTTCTGCCCGTTTTTGACTGGGTTATTTACTTTGTTTTTGTGAGTCTCATCAGCTCTTTGTAGATTTTTGTGATCAGTCTTTTATCATTGGTGTTGTATGCAAAAATTTCTCCCAGTTGGTCGGGTATCTCTTTGTTTGGGTTATTGTCTCTTTTGCTGTGCAGAAGCTCTTTAATTTGATGTAGTCCCAGCTATTTATTTTTGCCTTCACTATCACTGCTTTGGGTGATGTGTCTGTAAAGATGTCTGTGAGGTACATGTCATGTAGTGTTTCATCTGTATTTCCTTCTATATATTTTATGGTTTCAAGTCTTATGTCTAGTGCTTTAATCCATTTTGAGTTGGTTTTTGTGCATGGTGTGAGGTAGTAGTCAAGCTTCATT